CACTTATTTGTTGCAGTAATCTGGACTGAGTGTTATTGTCAAATGAACTCTGTATATATATAAATTTTTAATTCAGGCACCAGTCATCCCTAAACATAGATAATTTAGCATTTAGTAGTGGATTTATACCTTGATCCTGCTTCTGGGTTTAAGCATTTGTTGTGTTTAGATTATTTGTTCAAGGATTGTAGGGTCAGTTACTTGTAACAAGATGAGATGAGGGAATGACCTTTGCAGGTTTATCCTATGGCGACCTGGTGTTAAACTTTTGTTGTATTTGATGGTATCTTTGCTGAGTTCCTGTATAATTCAAAGTGCAGATTCCAATGGAAATGGTAATGAAGCAGGAAATTCAAAGAGGGATTGTTAGGGCAGCATGTTTTACAGCTTATTAAACCTAATGACTTGGAAATGGTTCAAGCCTCTAGCTTTGATTGGTTGGTTTGATTGCTTTGATTTGAAAAAAGAAATTGATTTCATATGCCAACCAGTTATGATTATGGAAGACTGGGAAAAACATGATTAACTCTTAATATCATTGTTAAATAAATTTAATATTTATTTTTATTAATATTATTATTTATTTTAAATTATCGTTTATTTAAAAAAAATTGATAAATGATTAACTTCATTTATAGGAATTTTGCCTATTATATAAAACAAAGACAATAAGTTATGAATCTTATCATAAGGTTTGTATCTATCTTTTAGGATGACGATAAATATGAAACGACGCAGAATTTTAAAGAAAATAAATTATAAATTGAATGCGAAAACGAAATAATAATTTTAAAGTTTACATTACTTACACAATAATTTAGAATATTCAATAAAATTACGGGAATAACGATTTTAAAAGAATAACGAATAATTAAAGAAATAAATAGAAGTAAACAACTGAACATTCTATTCGCAACCTTTTTGTAGATCGGGATCTGGATCTTGGTTCTCTTGATTTGAAATAATTAATGAAAAAGTTAGTTATATTAGTTCAGAAAGAATGTTACATTACTCACCGATATAAAAATGAACGTTGATAAAAATTATGAAAATAACTAATCGAATTTTTAATTTAAATAAATTCATTTATCATAAGTAAAATCATTTATTGTATACTTATCATAGCAAAATTTACAAAACTGACCTATAGAGGTAATAACACAAACAATATCATAATCTTATATTCAATTAACCAGAACAACAACTTTCTCTTTTTATCTGCCTATTGGTATTCATGGGGGTCTATAGGGATGTCTCCACTACGCGTGAACCCTTATTTAACAATTCTAAATAACCGACCGTCCCCATACCCTATCCAGTATGAGCACCAAAAATATCACCCCTCAATATCTCGTCCGGTATGAAGGTGAAATAGGTTTTCCCCATACCTCCGTCCGGTATGAGTGTCAAAATACCAATCTTCAATACCCCGTTCGGTATGAGACAACGTTCACGGTAGAATTCCCTATGCACCTGCTCATTCCACCATCTCTCAGGATATCTAGTAAAGTTATCATTCATTCGTTCACTTAATCAAACAATTTTTCATTTACATTTAATTTTTAGTTTCACAATTTTACTGTAAACCACGCAGAACAAGCAATACATGCATCAAGAAAACACCACTGAATCATCATACCAACTCCAGCATAATATTATGCATTTGAAATAGTAAAATCAATCAAACAGGATTAAAAGTGAATAATAATCGGTTTTATCTCCATTAGTAATCTGTAATTAATTATCAAGATTTTTTAAATTACGTAAAATACCGTATTATTTATAATTAAACTTCAATTTCATAATAGGGAGTAAGGTGAGAGATTCTTACCCAAACGGTGTCCGAACACTAACTTTCAGTTGTGTCTATTGACGGTCCCCAAGTTTTCTAAATTTTTCTTTGGAGATTAAAACACGCTTCAAGTACCTATAAATACCCAAAAAAAATCAAAAATCGGTGTTAGAAACTCTTTCCGGCTAATTTTGAAATTCCGGCACAGGGTGACGATTTGTCTCGGACTGGCTGTTTTTAGTAACTTTTAGCTGATTTTGGCCGGTTTAGTACTCATCCCTGTGAGAAAACACGTTAAGGGGGCTCGATTGGCTGAAAAAAATTGAAAAATAGAAGCTTACCGGCATCGTAGTTTTCGATGCGGCGGCTTCGCCAGCTCACCTTCGCAGTTGAACATTTTTCTTCGGTCAACCTGTGGAAAACAAAATGGTGAATACAATGGTGAAAAAATTGCAGAAAACGGGAATCGGGAGGGGCCTCATTGGAGACGATTTTTGATTTTTTCCATGGCGGTGCCGCCGAACTTTACTTGTAGTTTCCAGCTCATTCGCTGGTCCTTTTGCTCCAATTTGGCCATGAGGGTGTTCAAAATTAAATTTCGAGCGATTGAGAGAATTTTTTTACCTTTTTTGGCTGTCGGAGGTGGCGACGGCGCGACCGCGGGCGGTGGTCGACTCCCTTCCCGGCGATTGGTTCTTATTCTCCAGCAGGGGGGCTAGCGGTTAGGGTTAGGGTTTGGTGTGAAGTGAGGTATTTATATCCGTTTTATTTTAATCTAGGTCATCCATCGTGTTTGATCTGAATCGTCTGATAGCGTTTAAATAGAAAATGAATTTAAACCGTTTATCGTAATTTGATTTGGACCGTACGATCGCGTTTAAAGAGAAAACGAATCTGAGCCGTTCATTGCGTTTAGTCGCGGCCGTCCGATTACACATGAGGAGGGAACGAATCCAGACCGTCCATGCGCGGAAACAAATCCAAACCGTCCGATCGCGGGTATGCGAATTGCTAGCATGGCCTCCTGCGTGATACTGCGTCAGCGTGCCTTGGCACGCGACGCGCTTCAGTTTGTCGAGACTGCTGACTGAGCAGTCTTACGTGGTACATTTTTTTTAAATTGCATTTTGATATCCAGATTCTGATTTTTCTTTCAAAAACATTCTTTGTAACGGCCCCGGAAAATATTAAAATGAAATGAGTATTTAAATATATCAAATGCGGAAGCGAGATCAAAATTTCAGTTAACATCCCTTACACGAAAAACCAAACAAACGTACTTAAAATATAAAAGGTTAAACTAACTAAGAAAGAAAACTCGAAAATAAACTATGCGTATGACTACAGAGTCTCTAGGCATCCCCTTCGTCGTCCTCCTGCGGAACGGGCTCGGGAACCATGTCTTCCTGATCTGAAATGGTTAATTAAGGAGTGAGCTACACTAGCCCAGTAAGAACATCACGATATCTCACCGTCACGGAGATAAAGGTGGGTAGAAAACCACAAAAAGACCAATGGAGCATAATTTACAATAAACTCGTT